GGGGACAGGTGTGAGGGGACAGGTGTGAGGGGGGACAGGTGTAAGAGAGAACGGGTGTGAGAGGACAGGTGTGAAGGGGGGACAGGTGTGAGGGGACAGGTGTGAGTGGGGACAGGTGTGAGTGGACATGCCCCTCTTCTTTTTCTCGGCCTCGTAGACTTCCCCTGGTCCTCGCTTCCCCTCTGAATTTGCCTGAGGTTCATAGCACGCTGATGTTACCCAGCGACATGTTTAAGAACCTGCAGCTGACCCTCGTCTCTGGACTTCTAGTCTTGGTTGGAAAAACCAAGAAAGGTCAAATTTATGCAGATCTTGGAGATCTTCCCTCGCTGTCTGCTGGAGCCTCTGTTGGACGAATGATTTCATATCATTTCTCTGATCACATCAGCATAAAACCAGCAAAACATTCTCAAACAACAGAAAATACACAGCACGAGGACGACGTCCATCTGTGATGTGTGAATGTCACCATGTAGCAAATGAGAGGCAGACAAATATCAGACACATGATGTTTGTATGTGAAACGCTCTCCATGAGCTGTCAGTCAAACAGGTAAAACATGCAGACACGTGCATTTGATCAGATCTGATCAGGATCTTGGGCGTGATTGGAAACGGCATCAGAAGCCAAGACTGCGTGCTGTGAGCTGGTTCTGTTTAAGAAACATGTGCTGCTCAGAAAGTGTGATCAAGTGTTTCACATCTTCTTTCAGGTAAAACTACAAACACGATGCAGCCGCCTCAGGAGCCTTGTCCCTCCATGACAGAACCTCCAGCCGAGAACTCGAGAGTCCACCAGAGTCCCGATGAAGCAGCTCTCTGCTGGAGCACAGACCTAGGTCACCTTCTAGAGGACGACGAGCAGGAGGAACATGATCCAGATCCACCTCAGGACCAGCCAGAGGTCCAGGAAGTAAAGCAGGGTGCAGCAGCTGATGACCAAGAGGCGGGAGGCCAGGAGCAGAAGGAGGACAGAGGTGAGAGGTCACGAACTGTTGTGTGAGGATAGCTGGACAGAAGCATCAGTTAAAACCAGGTTTAGGTTCTGAATGAACTCTGGTCATCATGTGACCACAGACGCTCGTACCTGACGCAATGCCAAAGCGCACCTGTCAGCAGAGAGAGCAGGCTGAGCAGCAGCCAGGTGAAGGTGTATCGGAGGCTCGTTTAAACACTACTTCTTTGAGGGAACCGCGGCGTCAGCGGGCATCGTTACAGCGCGAGTGACGGAGCACGACTGAAGGCGGAGTAGACAGAGAAGAAGCTATCGCCGAAGCTAGGAGCGCTCCTCCTAGAGGAGCTGCCTCGGACCATCGCAGCGGCGACCATCCAACGGAAACGCAGCAGAGCTGACGCTGTAATATAGCAGTGCAGCTACCTGGGACTTTGTCTCACTCTGGAAAACGTTTGCCAGCCTCGGGAGCGTGGGACAGCTGCAAGATGGTGGCTCTGCAGCGTGTTTGTGATGCGCGCTGAGCGCAGGACTGAGCCTGAGAAAGGAAACGCAGGGGCAAACAAGCAGAGGGCTGTGGTTTGTGGTCGGCATCGTCATTCTGCAGCCAGCAGCTCGCCTCTGTGCCGCTGCCTCACGCTGTGACCGGGACTGACAGATTATTGGGAACACGCCACGGCCGCTCGGCCTGCGTTACTCCCGCTGATCCCAATGAAGCTGCTGGTCTGTTTGGAGGCGGAGCTTCCCTCTGTGGTTTCTTCCCTCTGTCACAAGAACATGAGAACCTGAGAGGCTGCAGCAGTCAGTCAGAGTGCACCAATGCACCACAACAGGAAGTGATGGAGGTGTGATCACACCTCCACCTCTCTGCACATGTGAGAGCAGCTAATAGATCCTGTTTAAGATAACAGCACAGGAAATGCCCTTTAACCCTTCAGCACCCAGCAGACACACACACACACAGACACACACACACACAGACACACACA